TCTAGAAGTCCTATCGCTTGAGTCACGCCTCCAGCTCGACTTCAAAGTCACCGAGTTAGCTCAAATTTGAACTCGTGCCTGTAGCAGCCCAGAGCCCTAATTCAAACACACAGAAGTTTCTCAGTTTTCAGGAAAACCCGGGAGCAGAGGTCAGACCAGCTATAAAGCCAGGAGCAGACTGCCAGGACCAGGAAGCCTGACGACGTTCTCACAAGGCACAGCGCTGAAGGATGTGGCCCGACAAGTGGGCGGTCCCGGAAGCCGGAAGCCTGACCAAGACTACATATCCCACAAGGTTTCGCGGGGCGATGCTGATCCAAGGAAGTCAGGCCGGCAGTAGCGTGATGACGTTGTCAGGGACGCCGGCGCGCGGGATTTAAACTGCGGCGGTTTATGCGGCGTTGAGACTGCTTAGGGATTGGAGAGTTGTGGTGTCTTTGCCTTTGAGTATTTCTTTTCCTGGAAGACTTCCGAATGCCCATGGACCCATCGCTTCAGGCCCGCTTGTTTCCTGGTCTCACCATCAAGATCCAGCGAAGTAATGGTGAGGGGTGGGGTCCCGAGGCTAAAAGCACCCGTGAGCAGTGAGACTGCTGAGGTTATTGCCCTGCCCCCCAAACGGCCGGGCCCTGGGACCCTGTAGGGGATTCCCTCCCCCACCACCCAGAGTATCGGTGTTTCTGCACTGGCGCTCAGTGTTCCCTATACAGTGTAGAACTTCTGCGTTGACTGTTCTCTGAGAGTGGGTGGAGTTCCTCCGAGGTGATTGGACCTTATAGAGAAATTTGGGCCGGTAGATTTACTTCCTTACAGTATTCTCCCCTGAAACTGCACTGTCCTTGTGGGCTTCCTAGACCGTCTACTTTTCAGAAATATTGCACAGTTGCAGTATAAGAGTCAAAGTAAACAAGACAAGATTCCTGCTCTTAAGGAGCGGGTAATCCAGTCCTCTATTTTGGTTAAGCAGCTATTGCAGCTCTGGCAGGTCTAATACCATGTCATTAAGAGAATGGGAAGACCGCCAAAACTGAGTTAAGGAAACCCGAGGGGGTCAAACTTTTGGTGCTGTGTTCAGGAACAGCTAGCCTGAGGACAATAGTGAATTCCCTGCTTACACATGCCATCATGCTATTGCAGACTCTTTTGAGTGGGATGAACCCTTATCCCATGCAGCTGGGTTTTAAGACCTGTTCCCAGAGCCTCACTGGAGAAGTTCTAAGGGTAAACCTACCCCACCCCCACGCCAGGTCTGTTTGTCTCTCTTAGAGGGTTTTTTTTTTTACCCCCCCCAAAGAAAAAATCAGCTGTCGTTTTCAAGGTAGACTCTTACATAGGAAGTCTGTGGGGATTCAAAAGCAAAGTGGATCTGTCTCAGTAGACAGATTGGTAACCCTGGTTTTTTCATACATAGGCTTAATTCACAGCGCCAACATAAGTACTGTGAACTTGGAGAAATCCTGCGTTTCAGTGGAATGGACAGAAGGAGATGCCACAAAAGGCAAAGAGGTAAGTTCTATGACAACAATTCCACCACATTTAACATCATCCTATGCAAAGGATCTGTGTGGAAATGGAATCTCTGAGAGAGCCTAGTTTCTTTTATTTTTTGGAGGGTGGTACTGGGGTTTGAACGCAGGACCTCATGCTTGTTAGGGTGGTGCTCTAGCACTTGAGCCACTCCTCCAGTTCCTAAAGAGCCAATGATGCTGTGCTGTCCTCTGCAGTCTCCCATCTTTGAATGCATTGGGATTTTATTTAGTCAGGCCTGTTCATTTTTTGTTATTGTTTTTCCCTTGAGACAGTCTATGTAGCCCAGACTGGCCTGGAACTCATGATCCTCCTGCCTCAGGCTCCCAAGTCCTGGGATTATAGGCATGCACCACCATGACTGGCCAGGCCTGTTCTAAATTGAAGCAATTAACAGTTTCTGGTGTGTTGTAGAAAGCAAACTGCAGAGAGTCCTAAAGCCTTGCTCATTCACCTAAGCTAGGTTCTGAGTACACACTACCTGTAATATCAGGTAACAAAATCAGTAACCCAGGTGGGAAGACCTAAGTATATTTTTGAAACACCAATAACAAGGCAACTTGTGATGAATGGCACAGATGAGTATTATTAGAGCAGCTCAGAGGTGGAAAGTTGCTGAGCTGAAGTGGCAAAATGGAACTCATTGGGTCTAGTGAAAAAGCTGGCCACAGGCAGTAGAGGACTCAGGATGCTTTGGCAGCAGCAAAAGAGCTGAAAAGAGTCTAGAGTTTTTATTTCTGGCACCTTAGAGATGCTTAGATTTAGTGGGGAGCCTTGGAATGATTTTGAAAAGAAGGGATATGTAGCTAAGGGTTTGTGTTCTAGAGGCATTATGATGCTGTGAAAAGGTCACTGGGCTGTGAATATTAAAACCTGGGTTCTAGTCTGTCTCTCCCTCTTATGTTCTCAGGCATGTTTCTGCCCTTACAAATTTAGTTTCCTCATCTATAAAGTGAAGATGATAATATCTTCTTCACAAAGTTGTGAGGACTGAAGAACTTTTAGATTAGTTCCCCAATACTAGATAATGTGTTGGGTGCTAGAACTACAAACACAAATAAAGTACATACCTGGACCCTCATGGAGTGTACTGAGATAACACATGTAAAGGACTTGCTTAGCCTAGTACACTAATGGTTAATTTGATTGTCAACTTGATTGGATTGAGAAGCCCCTGGGAGATTGGTAAAGCATACCTCTGGGTTTGTCTATAAGGGTGTTTGCAGAGAAGATTGACTAAGGAGGTGAGACCTGCTCTAAATGTGGGCAGCACACCCATAGGCTGGGAGCCAGATGGAATAAAAGGGAAAAAAGCATCTCTCTGCTTCCTGGCTGCTATAATGTGAGCTGTCTTGCTCCGCCATGCCCTCCCCACCATGATGAACAGAAATCTCTAAAACTGTGAGTCAAAATAAATCTTTCCTCTCTTAAGTTGTTTTGCTCAGATATTTTATCACAGTGAAGAAAAATTAACACAGTGCTTATAGTAGTTGTGCAGATATTTAGTTGTGCAGATATTTATGTGATATATTTGAGAAATGCGGGAATTGAATATTTTTCCAATATCTGTCTCTAAAAAACAAAAGACTACTAAAATTCCTTTTAACCAGCTATTATCAGTTCCTCGTGGTCTGGTTTTTATTGTTTGTTTAGAAATGTCTTTAGGGGGGTGGGACGGTACTGGGGTTTTCTAATTTAGGGCTTCACACTTGGTAAGCAGATGCTCTACTACTTGAGTCATATCACATCCCTTTTTTGCTTTACTTACTTTTCAAATAGTGTCTTGTTTTTGCCTAGGGTGGCCTGGATCACGATCCTCCTATTTATACTTAGCTGGAATGACAGGTACACAAGATAACAAGGCATGCATCACAATGCCTAGCTTATTGGTTGAGATGAGATCTCACTAACTTTTTGCCCAGGTTGGCCTCGAATCACAATCCTCCCTGTCTTTGCCTTGTGAGTAGCTGGCATTACAGGCATGAGCCACTGCCTGGTTAGAAATATATCTCTTAATCCCAGCAGACAGAGGCTAAAGCAGGAGGATTGTGAGTTCTTGACCTGCCCTTGAGATCCTGTCTCAAAAATTATATATATGTAGAGAGAGAAAGAGAGCTCTATAGATATATCTAGATATCTTATTGGGTCTTACCCCAGCTCAAATATTGTCATTAGACTAAGGACTAAACTTTTTTTTTTTTTTTTGCAGTGCTAGGGATCCATCCAAGGCCTTACACACATCACACATTCTACCACTGAGCTACATTTCTAGTCCCTGAGCCTTTTTTTGGCAGTACTGGTGGTTTGAACTCAGGGCCTCACCCTAACAAGACAGGTGCTCTACCACTTAAGCCACTCCACCAGCCCCCTCCTGAACCTTTTTTATGACCCCAATCAACCTTTTTTTAGTACTACATTCTGTGCCTCCAAAGTATTCTGGCTGGTGTGGCAGCTCACCACTCTGGCCATGCTTGGTGCCCTGCTGCCTTCATGTTCTTACTCTTGCTCCTTCCCTCTGGGATGTTCAGTGTGGACATCAGTATGAGAATCAATGTCAGTTCTGGGGTTAGTACTCTGATCTTTGTGTCATCTCTGTAGTTTAAGGAATGGAAAGGGAGAGAGGTATGTGAATTAAGGGTCTGTAGCTATGCAAGAAATGTGGACAGAATTGTAGTTACTAAAGTACTTGCCAGCTTTTGCATCCAGTGATCCTCTTCTCATCTTATTCCATCTTGCTTTGTTTTCTACCCCTTTGTGCATATAGCTTCTCTTCCCCCTTAGAATTTGAACTCACTTAATTTATCTTTGAATACCTTCCTTCTCATGCTACTATCTTACTTGTGACTAATAAATGTTTAAAAAAGCCAGTTAATAAATATAGGTTGGCTGGGTGCTGGTGGCTCACGCCTGTAATCCTAGCTAGGAGGCAGAGGTCAGGAGAATTGTAGTTTGAAGCCAGTCCAGGTAAACAGTTCATGAGACCTTATCTTGAAAAAAAAAAAAAAAAAAAACCCATCACAATAAAATAAATAAATTGGTCTGGAGTTGTCGCTCATAGAATCCTTGCCTGGCATGCATGAGGCCCTGGGTGTTAACCCCAGCTCTGCAAAAAATATGTAAATAAATTAGGTTGTATACCAAGGTGGTAAAACCCTCCCCCTTACAGTACATGCTTTAGCTCTGTCCCATTTCAAAATATAATAAACAAATTGGGACTCATTTGGTGCTTTTTGTTCTTTTGTGGTGCTGGGGATCAAATCTAGGGCTGCATGCATTCTAGGCAAGTACTCTAGGGCTAGTGGAGTGGCTTAAGTACTCTACCACTGAGCTACATGTACACCTCTAGCCCAGTTCGATATGTTTGAACCTGCTATGAAGTTATGCTGGTGAAGTTTGAATTTGAGTTGTTCCTAAAAGGTTGCCAGACTCTGATGATGTAAACTCAGAATTGTGACCTCATTGCAGGTGTAAATAGGAAGCCATGACTGGGGAAGAAGTTTCTGAGCCCAGTAGAAAATGTAGGTAGACTTAGGGTTAGGTAGCAGCTTTCGGGAACTTGTTCCTGCCCATAATATCCTAAAGGGCCCTCCATTTTGACTATCACCAGACAATTAGAACTTGTTTCCTCCTCTGTGTCATCCAGCAAAAAGTGCTCAGGGGGCTGTGTCCAGCAGGACCTCACTGCCCAGCACAACGGTAGGGGAGCCAAGTGGCCTTGATCTACCGTGGACTGCTGTTTGCCTGCCTGGCTACCTTCCTTTGCACTTCATTCTCATCATTGACAATCTACTGTTGGCTTGGAAATCAGAAACCTATATCCATCTAGATGGTAAACCATTACTAAGGAATGATTACTTGTTTTATAGTTATTAGTACTTAGTAGAATTTAGGGTTAGTAAAATCTAAATCTAGGCATGGTCTTGATTGCAGAGATGTATTTAGATTGAACACTATGTTGTTTCACTGAAACTCTTGCTTCTTGCAGATTGACTTTGATGATGTGGCCGCAGTAAACCCAGATCTCTTACAGCTTCTTTCCTTACATCCAAAGGACAATCTGCCACTGCAGGAAAATGTAGCAGTCCAGGTAGGTACTTGTCATCTGACTTTAGCTAATGTCCTGGGAGAGTCAATTCATATATTAGCTCTCTACTGATTTGTTTTCTGTGACTGCCTGGAGCACATGGGCCCAGGATAGGCCTTTGAGATTTGATAAGAGCCATAAATTGTAGTTTGTTTTGTTTTTTCAGAAACAGAAACGCAGATCAGTCAACTCCAAAATTCCCGCTCCAAAAGAAGGTAAATGGATTTCTGCTGGCAGTTGTAATTGTGTTTGTGCTGGAAATGATGATACTATGACTCAGAGTTGTGGAAATTGAAGTAGACTTGTTGTTCCAAGTTACCATGTGACTTCTATGTGGGCTGAGTCCTGCCTTGTGTTCCAAGCATCTTTCTTAGTGAGGAAGAGTCCAACCTATAGCTCACCTCTAAGAAACTGGTACATTTAAAAAATTTGCTTACTTGTGCAGAGTGGAATCCAAGCCTGGTGCTAAGGATAATGGGAATCAGCCACTCTTAGGCTTGCTTTCTTCTCTCAGGGCTCAGCTTCCTCAGGGGAACAGTGTGCCTTAGAGTGGGGCTATGAGAAAAACAGAATTGCTTTGCAGCCTTTTGGCTAAGATCAAGTATAGGAAAACAGATACTTAGGTTTGGGCTGGGAAACTTGTTTTTTTTTTTACATTTGGGTGGTACTGAGGATTGAACTCAGGGCCTTGTGCTTGCTAGGCAAATGCTCTAGCACTTGAACCATTCCCCTAGCCCTTAGGCTGTTTAGAAAAGCAATCATGCTGAATACAGTGGCATGTGCTTGTAATCCCAGCACTCAGGAGGCTGAGGCAGAAAGATTCAGAATTTTAGGTCAGCCTGAGCTACACAGGGGGAAACCTTGTCTCAAAAAAATCTGGAAGTGCTATGGATATGTGAACTCTCTTATGAGAAGGTTGGGCTTTCTTTGCAGCAGTAGTCAGCATAAACCTACTTTAACTGCAATAGACTGTGACTGTAGTGGGTGAAAGTAGACATGAACTGTCCAAAAAAATACAACTTATTATTCACAGCCACCTGTGCCTTTCAAGCCACTGAACCTGCACAGCTATCGTAGTGCCGGGGTCATCATATCCCTGACATAATTCAACTGTTCTAGAAACCCAGAAAATACTTACCTGAAGTTTCTGGGAACCTATGGAAGATGGTACCATTGCAAGCTTTGGCAGCGTCTGGATGGTATGGTGCTGGCCCTGTCTTGCTGGTTGTACCATAACATCGTACAGGGAGATGGGAATGACGGTGGTCTGTCCCATTCCATGTGTGTATTCTCAAGGATATATTGGCACAATTTCTTGTGTGTATGTATGTGTGTGTGTGTGTGTGTGTGTGTGTGTGTGTGTGTTGAGGAGTGAACACAGAGCCTCTTACATAGTGAGCAATGCTCTACAACTGAGCTACACCCTTAGCCCCACAACTCCTAAAGTATACATTTTGGTCAACAGTAGAAGTGAAACTCAATATTGCAAATCATTTGTGAAATAGGAAAATTGTAATAGTTCATGCTCTTTATGAAGGAAATGGATTTTAGATACTCTCCAACTTAAAACACATTATATTTTGATACAATGGATTTATCAGAATATTATGTGTTTTGACTTGAAGGATATCAAAATGCATTTGTAGTTCAAGTGGTAGGGCACCTGGCCAGCAAGCATGAAGCCCTGAGTTCAAACCCTAGTACTGAAAAAAAAAAGAAAAAAGGCATTTAATACACCTAACCTACAGGGCATCATCATAGCTTAGCAGCACAGGACATTGTACAGTATGAGGTGTTTATCTTTGTGATCTCACGGCTGAGTGGGAGCTGCAGCTCACAGTTGCTCCCCAGGATCTTGAAATAGTATTTTACAGCATATTGCTAGCCTGGGGAAAGATCAATTCAAAATTTGGTTTCTAATGAACGTGCATCATTTTCACACCATCATAAAGTTGGAAATCATAAGTGAAGCCACTGTAAGTTGGGAATGGTCTGTACCTAGAGCCTTTAGTCTAAATGTATGACACTCAAAAATTTATTGCAAGTTGTACTTGATTAGTTTTTGTTTTTGTTTTTGTTTTTGTTTTGGTGAGACTGGGGTTTGAATTTACGGTTTCTAAAGCAGATGCTCTGTTGGGTACTTGCTTGGTTTTATGAAACCATGTGTTTCCAAATTTATGACTTGAATTTTTTTTTTTTTTTTTGGTGGTACTGAACTTGGACTAACACTTGGTAGGCAGGCGCCTTACTACTGGAGCCATGCCTCCAGCCCAACTTGAAATATTTGATAAGTGACAATTTTTTTTTGTTTCTCATGGAGGGAACAATATAGATTTCTAGAAATTGACAAGAGTTCAGATGTAACAACTTTTCTCAGATTTTTTTTTTTTTTTTTTTTTGGTGGGATTGGGGTTTGAGCTCAGGGCTTCATGCTTGCAAAGCAGGGGCTCTGCTAATTGAGCCATGCATGCTTCCAGTCCATTTTTGCTCTGGTAATTTTGGAGATGGGTCCTCACAAACTACTTGTCCAGGCCAGCCTTGAACCTCTATCCCCAATCTGAGTCTCCCAAGAAGCTAAGATTACAGGCATGAGCCACCGGCACCCAGCTATAGTTTCGTTTTGTTTTTTCTTTTAAACCATCTTGCTATTCATCCCAAGCTTATCTGAGACTGGGGATCTTTATGCCTCAACCTCCTGAGTACTGGAATGCAGATGTGTATCACCATGACAGGCCCTAATGGTTTTTGTAGTGGTGGTATTGCTGGAGAGTGAATCCAGGGCTTTGTGCATGCTAACACTGAGTTACATCCCTAGCCCTACCGACATTTGAAGGTACAGGACGATTGTAAGGTGGTAGGACTGAGAATAGGTCTGTCTCTCCAGAAATAATTTCAGATTTGCTCTAGCTCCCTTCATGTACTCAAGACATATTTTCTCATGAGAGATACCTTTGCCTTTAGGAGCTCCTGGATTTGTTTTTTTATTTTTTTATCATTTTTACATTTACTAACATATATATATATGTTAGTAAATGTAAATATGTATATATATATATATATATATATATACATTGTTTGGCCACAAACCCCTAGAAGCTCCTGGATTTGCAGAATGTGTACAAATAAGTTTAAGGGACACGAGTACTTGGTATTCCTAATGTTTCTTTTCCTTGGGAGGAAGGAATGGAAACCTGTTGGGCTTCTTTCCTGGTGGCTGGGTCTTGGATATTTGCTTCTGTCTGCCCTCCTCCTCTTTGGCCCCTTTTGATCATGCAGCACTGATTGGCTGCTGCCCTCGGTTCTTCAGGTCTTCGAAGCCGCTCCACTCGAATGTCTACTGTCTCAGAGGTTCGCATCACCGCTCAGGAAAATGAGATGGAGGTGGAGCTGCCTCTGTCTACAAACTCCCGCAAGCAGTTTTCAGCTCCCAGTGAGTAATGAAGGTGCTCTCCCTCAAAAGTGCACCTATCATGGCATATATATATATATATATATATATATATAGTTCAATGAATTTTCACAAACTGAACACACTCATGTATCTTTTTTACTTTTTGCAGTACTGGGGTTTGAACTCAGGGCCTACTACCTTGAGTTTTTTTGTGATGGATTTTTCGAGATAGGGTCTCTCAAACTATTTGCCCAGTTGACTTCATTTAATATAGTTAGTTGCTGCCTAAGTTCCCTGACATCCCTGGCTTTTTTTTTTTTTTTTCTTCAGTCTTTCAGTGTTTGCTCCACCTGGATTTCCGAGACTTTGGAGAAGTCAGAAATGCTTGACTTTTCTCCCAAAGGCCCATTCAAACTAAGAATTCATACTTGGGTCAAGTCCACAGAGTCAGGCCTCCAAGTACTTTTCCTTTCCTGAAAAGGCCAATACTTAAGGATATTTTGAGCCCAGGAGCCTGACCTTGCAGAGAGGGTAGTTAGGTTTAGGATATTGGATATTGGTCAAGGTGAAGGGAAAAGCCCAACATTTGCTCATGAGCCCTTGCTGAATTGGCAGGCAGTAGCCTTCTCCTGGCCCAAATAAGGACAGCTGCAATGTGCCTGCCTGCTTCTCCAGTGAATCTTGTTCTCCACAGCTGGCCCCATTAGGCCCTCCTGCTCTGCAGTGGCTGAAATACCATTGACGATGGTCAGCGAGGAGGTGGAAGAGCAAGTCCACGCCATCCGAGGCAGCTCTTCTGCAAACCCTGTGAACTCAGGTAGACGTGCCAAGCTGTCTGCTTTTCTGCTTCTAGTATGGGGCAGGTATTTAACATCTGGCCTACTTGGACACCTGAGTTCAAGATCCCTCTTTTCGCCTTGAAGGCATGTTTTCATGTGGCTGTGGACTCCATCTTTCACAAGATGTGAAAGATTGGGTAGAATCCCTCTGATAATGGTTGAGGTGTTATCACAGCTAAGGTCTTGAAGAATAGCCCAGGGTGACTCTCAAGACAAAGCAGGGCTATCCGGCCTGTTTTTGATTGTTGAGAAAATAGCCACAGAAGCATAGAGTCTGGGTCAGAACTAGAGTGCTATTGTCACTGCTCTTACCTCACATTAACCAAGTCATTATTACTTCATGGATGTGTCCATCCAAGGATCACATGTATTGCTTGCTTCTTCTTGCATGTAGTGATTTAAAGGCAAGGATCTAGAGAAGGCCTGTTCCAGAGAAAGGCCCAGGACTCAGCAAAACAGCAAGAGAACAGCAGACTGACCTAGACGAGTAAAAGAGTGACTTCCTTTTTCCCCCTAGTTCGGAGGAAATCATGTATTGTGAAGGAAATGGAAAAAATGAAGAATAAGCGGGAAGAGAAAAGGGCCCAGAACTCTGAAATAAGAATAAAACGAGCCCAGGTACTTTTTTTTTTTTTTTTGGTGTGATACTAGGGTTTGAATTCAGGGCCTCTTACTTGCTGGGCAGATGCTGTACCAGTTGAACCCATGCCCCTGTCCCTGAGCCCAGGTACACCCAGCTGGGAGCTTGGGTCAGGGTTTTAGGACAGGCATCCTTCACTAAAGGCAACAGAAATACAGTTGCCAGCATTTCTGAGGCTCCAATTCTGGTATCTAGGAAATTTAATTGATTTCTTACCAGGTTTGTTCAGAGAATAAATACATAATTCAGAAGTTACTTCAAGGCCCTCAGATGAGCAATACTTCATGCTGATTGACTAATGGGAAAATCCATCACATGCTCATGCAGTGTGGTACCATTGCTGGGCATAGTTGCCTGCTTTCCACTTGTTCCACCTAGTTGCATGTATCACAGGGTGGGGGTAACTGCAACTGGAGTCCCTTTAATTGGGTTAATTGCTGTAAGGAAACCCAAAGTACTGCTGTGCCTCCTGAAATGTAGAACAGTAGCCCTTGTTCTACTTCCTAGGGTAGTTACTATGTATACCTAGACTTCCTTGCCAATCTCTGCTCCTAGGGCTTTGTACCTGACTTCTTGGTCAAGAGCCAGACTGAGAGGTTTGTCAACTATGAAGTTGTAACAAAAGATGTTACTACTGCCGCTTATTGCTGGGTCTGAGAGCACTTAATATCTTTTTTTTTTTTTTTTTTTTTTGAGCACTTAATATCTTAACAGTGTACCCTTTATTGCTTTTATTTCAAATAGGAGTATGACAACAGCTTTCCAAACTGGGAATTTGCCCGGATGATTAAAGAATATCGTACTACTCTGGAATGTCATCCACTTAATATGACTGATCCTGTAAGTAAATCAAGGGACAGAAAACTCATGGTTATCGGAATGAAAGCATATAGGGATCTTCACTCAACCTGAGGTGCCCCGCCCTCCTGGTTCTTGTTGTTTGTTTCTTCTTTGCTGGAGATTAAACCCACAGCCTCATGCATGCTGAACAGAAAGTCTACCACTGAGCCATGTACCCCTCCCATTTACTTATCTAGTTATTTATTTATATATTTTGCAGTGTTAGGGATAGAACCCAGGGTCTCCAACATTCTAGGAAAGTGTTCTACCACTTGAACCATACCCCTATCCCTCCCTTCTCACTTTTTTAAGACAAGGTTTTGGTCTGTAGCCTAGGCTGGCCTTAAACTGGCAATCCTGCCTCAGTCTCCAAAGATTACAGGTGTGTACCAATACACCTGGCTTGCTTTCTCCCTTCCCCGTCCTTCTTTTCTTCCTTCCTTCCTTTCCTTCCTTCTTCTTCCTCTCCTTCCCTCCCTTCCTCTCCCTCCCTCCCTTCTTCACTTTCCCTCCATCCCTCCCATCCCTCTCTCCCTTCTTTCTTTTAATCCCCTTTGGTGGGCTATAAATAGTGAGGCTCAGGTGAAAGTCTAATTTTTATAAAATGTACCCTAACCCCAATGTGTAGGTTGGCCTAGAGTGTTGCTAAGATTTATGAAAATAGTATTCTTCAAGGCAGCAGAATGAGAAAACTGAGTGCAACCTTCTTGTGCTCTATAGTGACTAATGGGAGAGGCTGGGGTCCTAGTGTTAGGTCTTGTCCCTTGACTTGGCCAGGGGAGGAGGTGTGGACAAACTTTCTTTTGATACTGCTCTGACCCTTCTCCCTTTGGTGTCTCCTCTCATCCTCTTGTAGATTGAAGAGCACAGGATTTGTGTCTGTGTTAGGAAACGCCCTTTGAATAAGCAAGGTAAGCCCATTAGTCAGAAGGAGACACCAGACTGACTGAGGTTTACCTGTGACCATGGAGCAGCCCCTGAAATATTCTCCTTCTGCAGAACTAGCCAAGAAAGAAATCGATGTGATTTCGGTTCCTAGCAAGTGCCTTCTCTTCGTGCATGAACCCAAATTAAAAGTGGACTTAACAAAGTATCTAGAGAACCAGGCATTCTGTTTTGACTTTGCATTTGATGAAACAGCATCAAATGAAGTTGTCTACAGGTTAGTTTGTTGCCTATTTTTAATTCCTCCTTGTGTCCCCTCTAGTATCCCCTCCTCTTTTTTGATGTTGGACATTATGGTAACTCATACATGCTGAATTCCAAACCCCTCCTGGCCTGTCATGTTTTTATGAAGCTCTGGCCCCAGGTACCAGGAAGGCCTTATTTGGGGCCTCCCATATGTCCCTTTGCAGCTTTAGCAGCCCATCTTTGAGTGAGTCATAAATGAAGTATTACCATTACCACTAGTCTTAATAGATTCAGGTAACTCTAATTCTGCTCTTCCAATATGGTACGCTGTAGCCTCATTGAAATGTACATAAAAGTGAAAATTAAGTTAAGAATTCAGCAGATCTGGCTCTTGCCTGTAATCCTAGCTGCTTGGGAGGCTGAGATCGAGGATCGTGGCCTGAGGCCAGCCCGGGCAAATAGTTCACAAGACCTCGTCTCCAAAATTAACCATAACAAAATGGATTGGAGATATGGCTCAAGAAGTAGAGCTTGCAAATGTGAAGTCCTGAGTTCAAACCCCAGTCTCACCAAAACAAAAGAAGGGAACTTGTCCATCATTATAGAAAGTTCTATTAGACAGCACTATTCTTTTTTATTTTGTTGATGGTACTGGGGCTTGAACTCAAGAGCTTCATGCTTGTAGGCAGGTGCTGTAACACTTGAGCTACTTTGTCAGTCCTTTTTTACATTGGTCATTTTTGAGATAGGGTTTTGAGAGCTATTTGCCCAGGCTGGCCTCCAACCATGATCCTTCTGATCTCTGCCTCCTGAGTAGCTAGAATTATAGGTGTGAGCCACCAGTGCCCAATACAGACAGCACTAGTCTATAGCAAAGGGTGACAAACTGGTTCATAGGCCATGTCTGACAAATGATCCTTTACTTATGGCCCTCAAACCAAAACTAGTTTTTATGTTTTTAAAGGTTTTTTTTTAAAGGTTGATCTCTCTGTTTATTTTTCAGTGCTGGGGTTTGAATCCAGAGCCTTGTGCATGCTAGGCAAGTGCTCTACTGCTCAGCTACTTCCCTAGCCACTGGGGTTTTTTTTTGAGAGAGAATCTTATTATGTATAGCCTGGACTGGCCTTGAACTCAAAATGTAGCCCAAACTGGTCTCAAACTCTACCCTCCAGCCTCAGCCTCCCAAGTGCTAGGATTGCTTATGAGAGCCACCACCCCTGGCTTAAAGTGTTTTTCTTTTCTATTTTTTTTACTGTGGTTTGAACTCAGGGCCTTGCCCTTTCTAGGCAGGCACTCTACCACTTGAGCCATTCCTCCAACTTAAAGGGTTTTTCAATCAAAAAAAGAAGCTGGGCATGGTGGTACATGCCTGTAAATCCTAGCACTCAGGAGGCCAAGGTAGGAAGATGGACACTTTGAGGCTAGCCAGGCTACTACTTAACATGACACTGTGGGGGAAAAAAAAAAAGAAGAAGAAGAAAGGAAAAGAGAAAAGAAATAAAGGAAAATGTGACAGAAACTCTGTATAGTCCACAATGCACAAAATATTTCAGACTTGATGTATTAAAAAAACATTTTTTTAGCCAGGCACCAGTGGCTCATGCCTATAATCCTAGCTACTCAGGAGGATCATAGTTCCAAAGCCAGCCCCAGGCAAATAAATTGGGAGACCCTATCTTTAAAAAAAAAAAAAAAAAAAAAAATCACACGAAAGGACTGGCAGAGTGGCTCAGATAGTTAGAATACCTGTTTAGCAAGTGTGAGGCCCTGAGTTCAAACCGCAGCTCCACCAAGAAAAAAGAAAAAAAAATTTAGGCTTGGGTTTCCCCTGTATCTTGTGCTAGAAGTAATCTGCTAAGCTCAGTTTTCCTCTTAGGTCTCCAGGGTCAGAGGAGGGGCTGGATGGCTCAAAGTACTGGCCCCTGCCTGCCCTAGCAGGTCAGTCCAGCACTCTACCCACCACTTCTCAATTAGCTAGTAGTTCAGATTTGTTAATGAGGTCAGGATGAGGTTGGACCTCCTGCCAGGACTGAGGCAGGAGAGAAATGCTCTACTTAGAAGGTATCAAGGACCCTGGGAGTTTGGCAGTGGAGCATTTCTAGGGAGTACATTTTGGCAGTAGCTACCCTTGGCCCTCCACATATATGGGTTCTACATCTGTGGGTTCAACCGACTGCAGACTGATAATAATTGAGAAAAGATTGTGTCTGTACTGAACATGTATAGAATTTTTTTCTTGTCATTCTTTCCTAAATGATGTGGTATAGTATAACAACTACCTTGCACTTACATTGTATTAGGTATAAACAATCTAGAGATTATGGAAAGATATGTGTAGGTTATTTTCCCTAAGTATCTGCAAGGGGTTCCTGGAACCAGTCCCCCTTGGACCTTGAGAGCTTGTTTGGAGGTTCTAATAGGGGAGCGCAGGTACTAGTATACCCTTGACTGAAGAATGGGCTCTATCGGGGAAGGTTATCCTCTTTGAGCACACAGCTTTCCACAGCACCTCACATGGAGCACTGAGGGAGGAAGGGGATACCACCTAGCCAGCTAGATCACCCTCACCTCCCACCCCTCATGGACAGCAAGGGATGACTGTACAAATGCTCTTCCCTTCTATTCCATCCTTTCTCCTAGGTTCACAGCAAGACCACTGGTACAAACAATTTTCGAAGGAGGAAAAGCAACTTGTTTTGCATATGGGCAGACAGGAAGTGGCAAGACACATGTGAGTATTCAAATCTGGCAAAGAGAGAATACTTCCTATAGTGCCACACTAGATCCCTGAAAAGGAAGACAATGACTTTCTTGCACAAAGTCCCTTGCCATGCCAGATGCTGGGAGGGACTTTAGCATGTCCAACCTCTTGGCTTTGGTGTGGCCCACTGTGGCAGTAGAGCCAGCAGTGCTCTGGCCTAGGCTAAGAGCTCTTACCATGGTTGTCTACATTTTCCATTTGCAGACTATGGGTGGAGACCTGTCTGGTAAAGCTCAAAATGCATCGAAAGGGATCTACGCAATGGCCTGTAAGTAATATGTTTTGCCTCATTGGAATTGGGCACAGAAAGGCAAGTTGCTTAACTTATCCAGGCTTTCCCCCTTAGCTCGGGATGTGTTCCTCTTGAAGAATCAGTCCCGCTACCGGAACCTGGGCCTGGAAGTCTATGTGACATTCTTCGAGATCTACAATGGGAAGGTAGTAGTCAGGCAGCCCCCTGTCTATGCTGATGGGGGCCTCTGACTTTCTAAATCTTTGCAATTGGCTAGAAGTTACAGAAGCCACCCAACCTGTTAGCTGTCAAGCCTTTGAGCCACTCTCCCTTGGTGTGTATAAGAGGTTTCATCTGAGGGTCAGATGGCACCCAAGCTCAACAAGTATAGCAGGAATACTCCTCAGGGCTTCCTCTCAGGGGAAGGATTTGCTTTGTGTGTGTCCTGTTCTCTCTTGAACCCTCTCCCCCCTTCTTCATAATCTTCCTCCCCTGATTATGAATGTTCTCATTGACATACACGCCTCCCTGTATATAAAACTCTCTTTAAATTTCTATATTATCACTACACTTTTTTTTTTTGTGGGACTGGAGTTTGAACTCAGGGCTTTGTGTTTACAAAGCACACACTCTACTGCTTATTTTCTACTGGTTATTTTGGTGATGGGGCCTGAGCTGGCCTCACTTCAAACTGGAATTGTCCTTATCTCAACTTCCCAAGTAGCTAGGATTTCAGGTGTGAGCCATCAATGCCTGGGATCTCTATACTTATGCAGAATTTTTTTCCCTAGCACAGGATCTAGATAATAAAAATAGCTAATTTTTATTATTAACAGGATATTCTAAGCACATAATTTGACTTGACTGTGGGAAACAGGCCAGAGTGGTTCAGTAACTTTCCTAGGCTTATGCAGCTAATAAAGTAGCAAAGTCAAACTGAATAGAGGTAAACCAGTTCAAACCCCAAGTACAATGCCCTCTGATAACTATCAGCTGGTATTCTCTCTGCCTTTCCTGCTGCTGGTCCTTGTCCAAGTTAGGGCAGGCTCTGTAGGAGGGAGGAGTTGGGCAGAGTGCCTGGCACCTATGGCCTTAGGCTTATTCCTTCTATCTTGCATAGCTATTTGATCTACTCAACAAAAAGGCCAAGTTACGTGTGCTGGAAGACAGCAAGCAACAGGTGCAAGTGGTGGGGCTGCAGGAGCATCTGGTTAACTCTGCTGATGATGTCATCAAGATGATCAATGTGGGCAGCGCCTGCAGGTCAGCATCCTGACAAGGGGAGGGGGCCACCATCTAATGCCTGGCTCAGGTGATAAGAGTTAACCCTGAAGAAAAAAAGCTAACTCTAAAAAAAAAAATAAAAGATAACTCTGAGGCCATTTTTGTTTCCACATAATGCTGCTTCTGCCAGGTTGGTAAGGACCTGAAGGCCTCTGCTTTAAGAGATCTTAGTGGGGCAGATGATGCAGGGCCAGAGGCTCTTTAAAACCAAATCAAAGCAACTTAAATCTAACGAAAGCAGGCTTTACTTACAGCCATGCTTCCTGGCATCTATGGGATTCTGCTTGTCCCTCCCTTTATGGTAGAAGTCAGGAGCTCTGGATCTGTTCTGACCTGCAAGTAGTGGGGCCATAGCTCCTCCGTACAGAGGCAGGGAAGCACTGGTGTGGTGCAGGGCAGCTATGGAGATCCAGGTGGGGCTGCTCTCTGCAAGGCCCTCAAATTCTGACAAGTGATTCATGTGTGCCCTGTAGCAAAGGCAGCTCATCCTTCCCCATGTTTTTATGAGCTCCCAGGTCTGGCTAAGACCCCAGTATAGAATCTAGTACTGATTTGTTAGAAATGTGTTAGGTCCAGAGCTGGAGAGCTGCTGTCCAGGAGAGCAGAATAGAAGGAAGTCTTGAGAAAGGGTAACACAGGACTTGTTAGAATCCTGACCTGGCTTAAACACTGGGGTTCCCTGGGGACTGGTGATCCCAGAAGTTCATGACCTTTCTTTATCATCCCCTTTTGCCACAGGACCTCTGGGCAAACGTTTGCCAACTCCAACTCTTCCCGCTCCCACGCCTGCTTCCAGATTCTTCTGCGAGTCAAAGGGAGAATGTACGGCAAGTTCTCTTTGGTGGATCTGGCAGGGAATGAGCGAGGGGCGGATACCTCCAGTGCCGACCGGCAGACCCGCATGGAGGCTGCAGAAATCAACAAAAGTCTCCTGGCCCTGAAGGTATGGCAGGGCCTAGCTAGTTGTGGTCTGGAGGGCAGCTGGGAAGAGAGGGATGTGGATAGCACAAGAGAAAAACAGGGGTTTCAGTCGTTCCTGCTGCCCCACAGGAATGTATCAGGGCCCTGGGACAGAACAAGGCTCACACCCCGTTCCGAGAGAGCAAGTTAACACAGGTGCTGAGAGACTCGTTTATTGGGGAGAACTCAAGGACTTGCATGGTGAGTAAGGTCACTTTGGAGGTGATGGTACAGAGGAGACAGTTGCTTTCCAAAGAGACATTTCATTCTTTCCCTACAGGAGGCTCAGCCAGTCTGATAGTGCCTGTATTTCCAAGGTCTTGACTGGGCTCCCACATCCTGCTTTGCTGCAGGGAGGAAAGAATCGACTTCCTTTACTGTGTGTGGGGTCAGCTCTTGGTTTGGGGGAGGTCTTTGTTCCCTTACCTCATAAATGAGTTCTAGAATTTGAAGATAAACTTTTTTTTTTTTTGTGGACTGGGGTTTGAACTCAGGGCCTATACCTTGAGCCACTCCACCAGCCCTTTTTTTGTGTGTGTGTGCATGATGGGTTTTTTCAAGATAGGGTCTTGAGAACTATTCGCCTAGGCTGACCTCAATCTGTGATCCTTCTGATCTCTGCCTCCCGAGTAGCTGGGATTACAAGTGTGAGCCACCAGCAACTGGTTGAAAATAGACTTTAAGGGAAGCAAGAGAGGGAAGTCTTCATCTCTTCCATGGCTTCCTTCTGGTTCACTGGCTCCAAGCCTAGGAAATAGACTAGATCATGAGGCTGCAGCCTCCAGTGATTTCTCATCTCCTTTCCTATTTTATCTCCAGGCCCTGCTATGAGGTCTGCCATTTCTCCCCTCAAGAGTATATCCTAGTGACTACCATCTGAGTAGGGACCTTTTCATGAGGAAAGGGGTGGGAGTCGGGGGTAGTGCTGGGGATTGAACCCAGGGCCTCACCCATGCTAGAAAGTACCCTACCACTGAGCTACACCCTCAGTCCCTCTGACTAAGCTCTAAATGCTTCTTCCTGAGGCCTTATCCCTTGGTGGCACACCTGTAATCACAGCTAACTAGGGAGGATGAAGTAGGAGGGATCACTTTAGTGCAAGACTGGGCAACACAGTGAGACCCTGACTTAAAAAAGAAAAAAACAAAAAACAGGGAACTAATTTTTAATTTGCATTGCCCATGGGCAAGTTGCCTAGCAAAGCATAGGTGCCTGATGAATACTCCCACCTAACCTTACCTTGTGGGTCTCAGCCACTCAAAGAGATTCCTCCCAGCAGTCATTCTAGGAGCAGGTTGGCTAGTATCTCTAACCGTCCATTCTCTCTTTTGCAGATTGCTATGATTTCACCAGGCATAAGCTCCTGTGAATATACTTTAAACACACTACGATATGCAGACAGGTACTAGTACCTACAACCAGGTGGGACACAGAACAGAAGGGCAGGGTCCCAGTGCCCAATGTATACAGCCTTATGTGACTCAGTGAATCTGAGGCATGGGAGACTTGGATTTCTGAGCCTTGCTGCCTGAGTGGTGCTACACTCCTGTGGTGAGTGCCAAGAGGGTTGCTATGGGATGCGAGACCTTCTTATTTCCTCAGAGTTAAGGAGCTAAGCCCCCACAGTGGGCCCAGTGGAGAGCAGCCAATTCAAATGGAAACAGAAGAGATGGAAGCCAGCCCTTCCAGGACCCTGATCTCAGGCAATGTAAGGGACCAAGGTGGGGCCGGGCAAGATGAAAGTATGGCCTCTGAAGTGGAAACAGAGCCACACTCTACACTGTTGTCTCTTCTTTTGCTCCCCTCAGTTCTCCAAGGAAGAGGAGGAACTGTCTTCCCAGATGTCCAGCTTTAATGAAGCCATGACTCAGATCAGGGAGCTGGAAGAGAGGGCTGTGGAAGAGCTCAGGGAAATTATACAGGTGGGAGCTGGCCCTGGCCAGGGTGGGATTGAGTATCCACATTTGCACAGCCTACAGAGTGCTCAGCACTATTCCTGGAACATGATAGGGGCTCTGCTGCCAGGGGTCTTCCGGTTGGATTGGCAAGAGGCAGCCTTCTATTAGCATTCCTTAATGCTAGGCATGTCAGTCTAGCTGTTCTTCTAGGGCAGCTAATGACCATACCACCTGTCACAAATAGGCTTTCTTGCATCCCCCCAGCTGGAGTTAGCCTCCTCCATGTTCCTCTTAACTGAGGGTTTAGAAAGTTATTCACATACAGGGATCTTGTTTTGTTTATTCAGTAAATGTTCCAGCTCCTGTGCTGCAATCATAAACCAAAAACATCAGATATGGGGGTATGGCTCAAGTGGCAGAGCGCCTACTTAGAAGTATAAGACCCCAAGTTCAAACCCCAGTACTGAAAGAAAAAAAAAAAACAAACAATAAAAAAACCCATCAGGTATAGATAGTAGGCCCTAAATGAAACTTGAGATCAATCCTGACTCTTCTAGGTATGAGCTGATATCCTTGTGAAAGTCGGCCTCCCTGGGCCTCAGTTTCTCCAACCCTAAACTGGATGAGATAGGATGGTGTTTTTGAGGATTAAGTCATGAACACAGTGCCCAACTTGTAGCTGGAGTTGAGTAAGTGGTAGATGCTACTTCTGTGATCTCTGATATTGGGGAAAGGCATAATAGTATCTCCTAACAGAGGGGCATTCTGAGGATTACAGAACAGAAAGGAAGAATTTGTAGCACTTGTGAGGCAGGGCTCTGATGGATAAGTGTCTATCAGGTCCTGTCTCCCTGGACTATCTAGGGGTACTGAGGTTTGAAAGGACATGGCAGTTTCAGTACAAATGAAAGAGTCACTGTGGTCAGAGCAAAAGGTGTGAGCAGATGATAGAGGAAGATTAAAGACGTGGACAAGTTAGCAAGGCCCTGATGCAAAGGGACTTTTTTATATGTAATGTAGCTCATACCAAAGGCTTAGACTTCATTATAAAGATGGTGGAGACCTTTGAAAGAACTTAAGCAGAGTGGTAACATGGTGGTCATAGCAATCTTTTTTATTTTTTTTTGGTGGGACTGAGGTTTGAACTCAGGGCTTTGGCTTGCAAAGCAGTCACTCTACTGCTTAAGTCACTTCCAGTCCATTTTGCTCTGTTATTTTGGAGATGGGGTCTCCTGAACTATTTGCTCTGCTGACCTCAAGTCACGATACTCCTAATCTCAGCTTCTCAAGTAGGTAGAATTATGGGCATGAGCCACCAGCACCCAGCACAGCCTCTTAAGTTTTTTTCTTTTTTCAGTGCTAGGGATTGAAGCTGGGGCTTTGCACATGCTAAGCAAGCACTCTAACACTGAGCTACATCCTTAGCCTTTATTTTATTTATTTATTTATGTATTTATTTTGAGAGTCTCATGATGTAGCCCAAGCAAGCTTTGAATTTATGATACTGTTGTGTTAGCCTCACAAGTGCTAAGATTATAGGCATATGCCACCATGTCTGGCTTATATTAGTTTTAGATACATCTGTAACGGATGGCTCGGTGATAGAGTGCTTGCCTCACATGTATGAAACTCTGGGTTCAATCTCCAGCACTGGAAAAAAAGAAAGAATGGGAGGGAAGGAGGATGGAAGGAAAAGGACTATAGATAATGCTTAGTGGTAGAGCACTTGTTTAGCCCCAGGTTTGAGCCCCAGCGCTTGGGGAGGGGGGCAGGGAGATAGATGTATTACTGTGGCCTCAGAGTAGAGCCTGGCTTGGGAGGCAGAGGCAGTAAGAGGTTGGGAAGAGTTCAACAGAGATGATGGTGCATAGACCAAGGTGTGTCCACGGCCATGGGATTGGAGCAAAGGCATAAGATTCAAGAACAAATGCATGGGTTTAGATTTATAGCAGACCTGTCCCCCTAGGCCTCTCATAGTATCTCATGCCAGAACAAGCTGTGGCTCCAAACCATGAAAGTGGAATTGGCAGAATTGGTGACAAGCAGGGTAGAAGTTATCACTCCAATTTCTGTTTTGGGCAGCAGGACTATTGATCCCATTAATTTGACAAAGTCTTGGGACAAGTTTAGGGTGGGAAGATGATGAATTCAAACTCAGGATTTCTCAAGGGACAGAATCAGGAGGCAGAGTATAGGCCATGGACATGCTTCTGCATTGCCAGTGGTTGGACCCCAGCAAGAATTTGGTGAAGTGTTTTAGTTGTTATTGAGGTGACATGGCCCTCCCTATGTTGTTGTAGCAAGGACCAGGCTGGCTTGAACTCTCTGAGATGACGGAACAGCCAGACTATGACCTGGAGACATTTGTGAACAAAGCAGAATCTGCTCTGACCCAGCAGACCAAGCACTTCTCAGCCTTAAGAGGTGGGTGTAGCTGAGTGGATTTGGTGGATGGTGGTGGCCTGCTGGCTCTTGGACAATGCAGGCAATGGCAGCTCTGCCCTAAGTAAGTGGGAGCCTCTGAGACTCTCACTAACCCCTTGTGCCCTACTCCCACTTCCTTCCCAGATGTCATCAAGGCCTTGCGCCTGGCCATGCAGCTGGAAGAGCAGGCAAGCAAACAAATAAACAAGAAGAAACGGCCCCAGTGACAACTATAAATAAAGATCTGTTTGGTTTCACATCCAGCCTCTTCCCCTCCCCACCTTTCCCTTACAGACTGGTGGCTTTGGTCAGGATCTGAGCTGGGATAAGTTTTGGTAAATGCCAAGTGTGGGGCATTGGGCCCAGGGCAGCTGGGGAGGAGGTACTACTTTCCTGTTCTTCAGTTTGGAGCAGGAGGAGAGAGCCTTTAGTTCCTCTAAGAGGAGAGTGCTCTCTGGGTAGAGTTTCCCATGGGAGCAGCATCCTGCCTGCATGGACTGGCTGCTGGTGGAGGCTCCCCAAGATTGCCCTGGCTCTGAGGAAAAAGAAGCCTTTAGTCCAGCTTTCCATTGCCTTCCACACCTGTGAATTGAACACTTGCATGTTTTATACTTTGAAAAAAAGTTTGAGACCTCTTCCTTCCTTGTCATTTTGAATCCCAAGAGGATCTCTACTATTTTCTGCTTTATGTATTTGTATATTTTATCTAACAATAAAGAAAGAAAAAAAAAAGAAATAGTCTTTTGAGTGATGTGTGGGAAGGATCTGGGATGTTTCTGAGCCTTCTGGGACCAAGAACACTACTGCAACTTTAACTTCTGGGCAGCGCTGATTCTGTACTCTTCTTAAGAGGCCAAATCATTGCCTACAGCTTCAATGACAAGCTGAAGACTCCAACCTATGTGACTTGTTAGCAGTTTATTATATGTGTACTAGGCTCTAGGCCTTCCCGAGGGACAGGTACTATAATAGACTGGAGATGGTGCTCCATCTGTTACAGTCAGCTCACAGGATAAAAGACTTTGGGAACACCAAGTGCCAGTGATTCAAGCCAGCCCAGGCAAATAGGTCATGAGACCCTATTACAAAAAAGGGCTGGTGGAGTGGCTCAAGTGGTAGAGCACCTGCCTAATAAGGGTGAGGCCCCAATTTCAAGCCCCAGTACCACCAAAAAAAAAAAAAAAAAAGACTGGGAACACTGTTAAGAAAGAACTTGACTTGGAGAAGGAAGAATTTGAAGGGCAACATCAGTTTGATCGTGGAAAATGGAAAATGACAAGCTTGCATGGGCAGTTTGGGCACTGGAAGACCAGATTCTGTGTCATGGAACATGAATTACAAACAGTTCCTTAGTGCCCCTAAGGAACGGTTTTGGCGACACTGGGGTTTGGACTCAGCTTTGTGCTTGCTAGACAAGCAGCTGCCCTACACTTGAGCCAAGCTTCCAGATAAAGAAGGATTTTAAGCTCAGCATGGGTGCTGTATGCTTGTAATCCCAGCTACTGAGGAGGCAGAGACAGGAGAGTTGAGAGTTTGAGGTTTCAACCCTGTCAAAGTTAGCAAGACCCTATGTCAAAAACAAAAGGGCTGGAAGCATAGCTTAAGTGTTAGAGCACTTGTCTGGCAAGTACAAGGCCCTGAGTTCAAACTCCAGTACTGCCACAACAAAAATCCTTCTGCCAGGTGGCGGTGGCTACTCCTGTAATCCTAACTACCTGGGAGGCTGAGATCAGGAGGTTTCAAGTTTCAAGGACAGCCTTGGCAAATAGTTTGGAAGACCCCCCCGCCCAATCTCCAAAATAACCAGAGCAAAATGAACAGGAGGCATGGCTCAAGTAGAGTGCTTTGCTTTGCAAGCATGAAGGCCTGAGTTCAAATCTCAGTCCCACCAAAAAAACAAAAATGTTCAAAAAATTTGAAAATATATCATGTATCAAAACACAAAATTACAACAAATTAAAATATTTTAATTGGCTCAATTTGCAACTCTAGAATTGGGCAGCACATTGTTCCATAAAGTAGAATGTGTTCCAATGAGCCAAACACAAGAGACTGGTTCTATATACAGAAAAGCGCTGACTGGTTAACATCAGGTTACTTTTTTAAGGATTAAGCCAGATGGAACGTCATTATGTCTATTTGAACTGGCCTGTTTGACTTATAAACAAAGTAAAGAAAGATTAAAAGAAGATTCATTTTAGCACCTGTTTCCCTCAATAATATGAAAATATTCAGAAAACATAGCCAGGCATACTTTTCTTTTTCCTTTTTATTTTTTTTCCCCTCTTTTTCAATTGTAGTTCTGGGGTTTGAACTTAGTGCCTCATACTTGCTAGGCAGCACTCTACCACTTGAGCTTTCCAATTAACTTCTGCAAGTATTTGCTGAAAACAAATTGTTTCCTTGCCCAAAAGTAAAACACCATTTCAAGGTGGGTCATTTGAGGAGTACATACTAAAATCTTCAGGGACATTAACTCTTAGAAAACTAGAATAGGACTGGAGGTATGACTCAAGCAGTGGAGCACCTGCTTTGCAAGCTTGAAGCACTGAGTTCAAACCCCAGTACCACCAAAAAAAAAAAAAAGTTACCATAGAAAACTGGAGTAACCCTTAGTACACCAGATCAGGCAGGGTGGGGGTGAGGGGGGCGTCAGTAAAATTTTTCTATAAAAGACCAGAGAATAAATATTGTCTGTCCCAGCCACTCAACTCTGTTATTGCTTAAAAAATATGGAAACAAATGAACATGCTTATGTTCCAGTAATACTTTATTTGCAAAAATAAATAACATGCCAGATATAGACCATGGGCTACCAACCCTGCACTAGAGAAATAATTATAGAGAGATCATTTTTGTGTCTATATTCTAGTGGCCTAAAAGTTTATATACTTCCAGCTGGTGCAGTGGCTCAAGTGGTAGAGTGGCTGCCTAGCATGCATGAACAAAAGCTCTAACACATCCAAAGAATTGCTTTCTGATTGATGCAGTTTCTCCCACAGATTCTTTTATTTATTTATTTATTTATTTAGGCATAGGGGTTTGAACTTAGAGCCTCACACTTTCTAGACAGGCACTTTACCGCTTGAGCTATTCCACCATCCCTGAACTCAGGACTTCATGCATGCAAAGCAGGTGCTCTACCACATAAGCCATGCCTTCAGTCCTTTTTTGTTTTCTTTTCTTTTTTCTCCAACAGATTCTTAATTTTTTTTGGCAGCACTGGGGTTTGAACTGAGGGCCTACACCTTGAGCCACTCCACCAGCCCTTTTCTGTGGGTTTTTTCAAGATAGAGTCTCAAACTATTTGGTGGGGGCTGGTTTCAAACTGTGATACTCCTGATCTCTGTCTACTGAGTAGCTGGAGGTGTGAGCCACCTGCGCCTGGCAGATTCTTAAATTTGTATTTGTATTGTTTCCAGGTGCATATGTTTTCTTTCCTAGTCTACCAGTTCAGAATTATGACATTTATCCTTTAGGATGGGTTAGGAATGTCCTTTCTGGAAACAGAATGGGGTAGATTTGATTCCATCTGGTTCGGTATAGTCCTAGGATTCTGAGCCCCTACAATATATAATTTTAAAATCAATTCAGTAAGTAGAACCACTGAGACAATATGTAGTTCTTAAAGTGGCAAATGTGGTTTTCATTTTTCAGCTCTTGCACGTTTTCAGTATTTTGAACATAGAGATTTCTTTTAATAATACAAAATTAAATTAACCACTTTGAATTTTAAAGATGGTGTGTGTGTTTGTGTGTGTATATCTATGTGTATTTCCTACAGAGGAAAAAGTACCTTTTTGTTCAATTTGTATCAATTCCTCTTTTCTAATTGTTGTGACATGGCAACTGTTGATAAATTATTGTAATTGTTTTGAAATGTAATGGGCTGGTGGAAGTGGCTCAAGTGGTAGTGAAGCACAAAGCCCTGAGTTCAACCCCTAGTATGACAAAAAAAAAAATGTAATGAGGATGTTTTTTATTTTATCCAACTTTAATCTGTTATGTATCACTTAGATGTATCTGATAGCAACACTTAAAAAGTCTTTATATCTACAGATTTTTTTTGGATATCAGATTAGTTTCAGTCGGTGATGTTTAACTTAGTGTGAGTGACTACATTTTATTTTTCTGCCTGGTGCTGGGGATTCAACTCAACTGCCTGAGGTATGGCAAGCAAGCACTGTACTACTGGAGCTATACCCCCAGTCCCTCCGTTTTGGTTTTTAGTCTGGTGTGTTGGGTCCTTAGTACAGTAAATTAGTTGAAAACAATGTCCTCTTATAATTACTTAACACATAATACACAAAAATTACATGAAATTCAAATCCCACTATCCAGTTTTATTGGCACACAGCCACTTACTATTATCTATAGCTGCTTTCAGAGAGACAAGTGAGTTGAAATAGTTGTGCCTATAATACTTACTCTTTTTTTTTTTTTCTTTTTGGAGGGATTGGGGTTTGAACTCAGGGTTTCAAGTTTACAAAACATATACTCTACCACTTGACCCATGTCTCCAGCTGATTTTACTCTGGTTATGTTAGAGATGGAGGCTCCAGAGCTATTTGCCCAGGCTGACTTGGAACCATGACCCTCTTGACCTCAGCCTCCCAAATAACTAGGATTACAGGCATAAGCCACTGGTGCAACAGCTATTTACTCTTCATAAAACGTTGCCAACCTCTCCATTATGCTCTCTCCCCAGATTCCCTTCACTTTGGTGGTTTTAATCACCACTTATATACCAAGGATTCCAGAAGTAACATCTTTTTCTGTAAGGATGACCAGACATGAAAAAGAAAAAAAAATATCCACTTGTGATTCAAGTGGACCTCAAAATGAGCATGTGCATAACATCTACTGTTACCTGGCCTCAATGCTGACTTACAATTTATAAATAACAAGAGCAGGGTTTTGAGGAAAAGGAAATAAGGTTCATTATTCATCAAAGAGGAGAACAGGGAGAGCCAACCCCTCAAAGCTCTGCCTCCTACTTCTGAGAGAAAATGTCCACCTTTTATTTTATTTTGGTTGAACTCAGGGCCTTATGCTCACTAGGCAGGTTCTCTACCACTTGAGCCACTCCACCAGTCCAAATGCTCAGCTTTTAAAGGGCAGTTCAGGGCTCAGCTTGACTGCATGACCAGATGCATGTTCACCATGGCAGCTGACCTTGATTCTCCAGGTGTTCAACGCCACTTCTCTGAAGCTGAATGTCTTGGCTGGCAGGTTTACTGCTCTGTTGGTCACTAAGAGACAGGGGTAGAGAGCTGCCTGGTCTAACTGAAGAGCAAAGAGAGTTAACTTTGGACTCTCCACCATGTAAACAAAGAAGACAAGAAATGTCAGATTAATTAACAAACTGGCCATCAGGCAAGCTGGGTACACAAAAAGTTTTCCTTTTTGTGGTCTCAGTTACATTTTCCCCACTCTCAATTAATTTCTTACATTTCTATGGAAAAGAAACATCACAATCATGTTTCCTGCCTTTAGTTTAATTCCTGGGCCCAAGTAAGGCGCTAGTGCGCTTCAATAAAAGCAGTTTGTAAGTCCCTGTTACGCTACCTTAGTCTACTCAACCTTGGTAAACGGAACCAACATTCATCCAAGTGACCAATTTATTTTTGCGGTACTGCAGTTTGAACTCAGGGCCTCACACTTGTTCGGCAGGTGCTCTACCATTTGAGCCACTTCTCCAGCCTTTCGTATTAGGTATTTTCGATAGGGTTCTCACGAACTATTTGAGAGGGCTGGCTTCAAACAGCGATCCTCCTGATCTCTGCCTCCTGAGTAGACAGGATTACAGGCATGAGCCAACAGCGCCTGTTTGGGATTTTTTTTTTTTTTTAATTCCTTCACTCCTACCCCCAAATTTAGGAATTTTCGACACCTCTCTCCCCTTAACCCCGACGTTCAATTTATCACCAAGCCCTTCAAAACAAAACCTAAGTTCACCATCTGCACTGCCGTCCAGCCTTTTCCAGCGCTGCCGCACCCCTATTTCATGCTGAACTACTACGGTACTAGCGTCTGAAATAAACCTTTCAAGACGTCAACACAACCCGGCTTCCATGTGCCCTATAGGAGCTCCACCTTTGCGGGTAGCGCGGCAGTCCCACGGCTCAGAGGCCAGACAAACGCAAATCACGTCACCCTGCGGCGCCAGGCTCGTTTGCACGGCGGCCGGAAAGACGTAAAGGGGGCGGGACAGCGTCTCACAAACCGGACCGTAAACCGTTGCGTTTCCTCTTTCTAGCCAGCGCCGAGCGATGGGTGAGTGTTGCTCTTTTCTGGGACTGGGGAGGAGGGTGAGATCAATCCGGAGCCATCCTGCTCCGCATACACTTTAGGATTGCGTTTGCCCCTATCCTCTATCTCGGACAACTATGAGAAAGGGTGGCTCTCGGGTTTTGGCTGCCGACGCTCTCTGCGGCAGCCGCAGGGGCTTCGTGCTGTAATCGGCACCAACATGGCTGCCGCGGGAAGGAGGCCTTGGCCGGCCGCACGTGTATGATGACATCTCGGTAATGCTGCAAACTCCCGACTGTGCAGTGGGGAAGCCAACCTTGGAGAACTGAGCGTGCGGCCCGCTCTGCACAGCGGATCTGGAGTGGGCGAGCCGCCACCGAGTCGCAATGGCTCAAGCTTCCGTCCCCGCTTATACATATAGGCATCTCTCGGGACAACTGGCACAAGCGCCGCAAGACTGGGGGCAAGAGAAAGCCCTATCACAAGAAGCGGAAGTATGAGCTGGGACGCCCTGCTGCCAACACTAAGGTGGGTTCCTGAGTGAGCCTCCCCGCGAGGTCGCCTTCTGCTCTGCAGCATGGTTGGGTTTCTGCGTGTATCTTTTATGGTTTTTTTTTTTTAGGGTCTAATGAAAACAGATATTAGGACTCAAAGGGCGCCTGAAGGGGTGGGCTCCTGTCGTGATAGAGAAGCCTGGTGATTTTGTTGCTTTTCGAGGTAACTAGAGTGATGAAAAAGTATCCTTAGGCGTGGTGTTATGGCCGTCTTGGTCAACTGTTTGCCACTTGCCAATGCAAGGACTTGTCATAGTTACACTGACTGTTACCTCTATCCAGCCCAGGCTCCCCTCCTTTTCTCTCTTTGATAGCTTAATTCTTTTTTCCTTTTTTTTTTTTTTTTTTTTCCAGATTGGCCCTCGACGTATACACACAGTCCGAGTTAGAGGAGGCAACAAGAAGTATCGCGCTCTGAGGCTGGATGTGGGGAACTTCTCCTGGGGCTCTGAGTGTGAGTACTTGAAGTTTTTTCTTTGGAAAGGCCTTGAGGTAGCCAGAAAGTTATCTTCGCCTAGACTGTCTCATACTACCACAACCTTAAATGGGGAGGGGACTGGGACTGATTTAAAAAGTGGTTCGCAGTCACTTTTTTTTTTTTAAGAAGGTTCTAGAGTTTCTTTGAAACACAGACTGAGGTTGAGGGGCTGAGGGAGCTGTCTAAGTGATGAAAACTTGGTCCAGTTCTGCTACTGAGTTAAGTGATGATAAAGTATGTCTGAGGAGACAGCGGGCGCCCCTAGGACATCAGGACCAGTTTGAACTTTTGAAGGGAGTAGATAGGTTAACTGTGCTCTCTGTGCTGTACAGGAGCCGTGCCACTTGAGTAACAGCCCTTTGTCCTCAGCTTTGCCCTATCAGCGTTCAAATTTTGGGCTACATTTATGAAATGATGTGGGTTTGGTTTTCTTTTGGGTTTTTTTGGTGCTGGGGATAGAAGCCAGGATCTCAAGCATGGTAGAAGGGTTCTGCCACAGCTTCATCCCCAGCCCAAGAGGAACTGATGCCCATGGCTGGGTAAGGGCTCTGTGGGGAGTCGATCCTGGAGAGGTATGAGGCAAGGCCAGCTGACCTCTGGTTTTCATGCCTTAATTTTGGGGTTTGGGGGAAGTCTGTTTCATTGGTTTTGTTTGGTGCTGGGAATCAAATCTAGGTACTGTGCATTCTAGGCACATGCTCTTAATAAGTAACATCCCCAGCTCCTGGATTCTGAATTTCTCTCGTGAGCAGGTTGCACTCGCAAAACAAGGATCATTGATGTTGTCTACAATGCATCCAATAACGAGCTGGTCCGCACAAAGACCCTGGTGAAGAACTGCATCGTGCTCATTGACAGCACACCGTACCGACAGTGGTACGAGTCCCACTATGCACTGCCCCTGGGCCGCAAGAAGGGGGCCAAGCTGGTGCGTGTTCCTTCCTATAGGGGTGTAAGGGTGGGATGCCTGACTGGAGCCTTGTGGTGAAAGTCCTCTGTTGCTGAAAAGATGAATGCCTTTGGTGATAACATCAGGCTTTTGGATGTGCAGGGTTCTAGAAAGCTCTGATAACCTTGCTTTCCTGAGCTAATATTTCTATCTTCTCTTTATTCAGACCCCTGAGGAGGAAGAGATTTTAAACAAAAAGCGTTCAAAGAAAATTCAAAAGAAATATGACGAAAGGAAAAAGAATGCCAAAATCAGCAGTCTTCTGGAGGAGCAGTTCCAGCAGGGCAAGCTTCTTGGTGAGATGACTTTTGGGATTGGGGAACTGGGAGTCACAAAGATGAGGCCTGCTTGCCACATCTTGCCCTTTCTTGGGTTTATTTGACTACCTTTGGTCTGGAAGGTTCAGTTTGCCAATTTTGGGACTGGAGTTTTTGGTTTTGGACAGTAGTGGGACTTGAACTCCAGGTCTCACACTTGCTCGGCAGGCACTCTACCACTTGAGCCACTCTGCTAGCCCTAGGGACTGGAGTTTTTGAGCTCAGCGCTTCCCTCTTTATTCTGGCCTGTCCTCAAATCGCAACCCTCCCGATATCAGCCTCCCAAGTAGCTAGGATTACAGGCATAAGCCACCTGTAATCTACCTGGTATCACTAGGAGATTTTAATAACACAATACAAGCACAAATGGAAGTATTTTGTTATGCTTGGTGTGAAGAAGAAATGGGATAGGAAGGGTCTCTTGAGTTTTGGGGGTATTTGGGAAAGTTCACACCCGGGTTGAAGAAACTGTCTCAGTGATGAAAACTTTGTCCAGTTCTGCTACTGACTTTAAGTGATGATAAAGTATATCTGAGGAGACAGTGGGCTTCATATCTCTCCCAGGGTATGATGTAAGGGGATAGATAAGTTGGCTGAGACCTTTGTCATTTTGTTGCTAACAAGCATACACTCTTTTGCAGCCTGTATTGCATCCAGGCCAGGCCAGTGTGGCCGAGCAGATGGCTATGTGCTAGAGGGCAAGGAACTGGAATTCTATCTGAGGAAGATCAAGGCCCGGAAAGGCAAATAAGTCATCATCCATGCTTCTGTAATAAAGGTGTTTATTGTTCTACATCCTACATTCATGCTGTCTGAATACTTGGTGTTTTCTGTACTCTCAGGTTAATAATAATGAGATGGTAGCTTTTCCCTTTTAATTTCTCTTTCTGGCAGTACTGGGGGTTGTACTCAGGGCTTTGCACTTGCTAGTCAGGTGCCCTACTGCTTGAGCCACAACTCCAGGCTATTTTGTTCTGGTTGTATTTGGAGACAGGGTTTTGCTTTTTAATCCAGACTGTCCTGGACCAGGATCCTATTATAGGCTTCTTGCTGTCACTGGGGTAACAGGCAAGCACCACCACACCTAGCT